AGGAGACTTGATACAGATAACTTTCTTTTGTCTTTTCATTTTTAAAGAAAGACCACCTAAAATTGATAATAAAGTCAGGTGGCCAAACTTAATCTGTTGAAGGTTCTGATGTTCTAATATGCCATGTAGGAAAAGAACTACATTACATTTAAAAGACTCAGATTCCCCTTCAGTTGAACACTTCCCCTCAATTCCCCATGACCTTTACTGACCAATACAAAGATGGACTTTATGGGCCTACTTTCTCAAAATACCAATTATAGCTGGTACTCCTATTTCACAAGAACAGATAAAATAAAATTTAACCAAAGGAAAGATTACATAGTAAGGGACAATCACACTCCCCTAAACCAATCTCTAAAGGACTATCCAAATACTTTTTTTCTTCAGAATATTTGTTTCGAACCTTATTTATTTATTTATTTTTCAACATCTAAAGCATGTAGTGCCATCTTTGGCCCCTTGCCATATTGACATTAAAAATATATACTACATAGCAGCATCAATAATCTGAACGTTACTAGTAATACATCAATGTTAACCGCATTTCAAGATAAAGTGCTGAGTTAAGGTTAGGTTGACTCTTGTTCAACAAGTCATAATAATAAGGGTAAAGGTTTTAAATTGGACACTCAAAATAATCCACTGGAAAATATATACTTACTCAAGTCATATTCCTGTACATTGCTTATATATCCATAAAGAGGGCAGTGACCAAAGATGACCAGCATGACTTCTTTTCCAGTTTTCAATGTGACAATGTGTGCCGAGTGCCCAACCACTGCATACTGCTCCTTTGCTTTAGGGGTCAACAACACCCATGATTCATTATGAATATGAAACACTCTCAACTCATTGGTCACATTCCCTGTTGAATCAATTTTTCCTCCATACATGTAAATTTTATCCTAGGGAAAAAATGTGAACAAAATTCTAAAAAACACTGAAAGGATCAAATCTGAGTACAGTAAAGGAGCAGTACAAAACCTCAATATTATTTTTAGCTTAAAAAGTGTTAGTGAAATGCACCTTTCAGTAAAATACTAGGAAAAGGATGGCAAAAGGAACAAAATAAAATAAATCGTATCTATATCTCCTAACATTTCACCACTTTTCTTAGACTTCCTCACACGAGATCTTTTACAGTAATAAAAACGACTTGGAAAAATAAAGCTGAAAAGTTCTCTCATTCTACTATAAACCACAAAAACAAGGAAATGAAAATGACTGTTCAGTTATATTACAATATGGCTGTTCTTGGCTAATCTTGCTAATGAACATAAAGACTAATCTATACTATATTAATTTTTAACCATTTAGTACCACAATCATGATATCCCAGTACAATTTGAATCCATTAAAACCTCTTGGGTTAAATTAGTTTCAGTTTTAACTTTCACTTACACATTAGCCAACTATATACCTTCCCAAAATAGAAAGTTTTCCTCCCAATAAAAAAACCAATATTGAAGTCAAAATCAAAAGAGACAGAAAGTGGAATGGTACTTGTCAGGGGCTGGGGGGAGGAGGGAATGAGGAGTTATTGTTTAATGGGCACAGAGTTGCAGTTTTACAAGATGAAAAGAGTTACATAGATGGATAGTGATGGTTGCACAATATTATGAATGTATTTAATATCACTGAATTGTACACTTAACAATGGTTAAGATGGTAAATTTTATGTGATGTGTATTTTACCACAATCAAAAAGATTAGGGAAAAAAACAACAAACACTAAATAGTTTTTGAACCACATAATATGATAAAAGTCACTGTGGAAGAGTTGAGTTTCTAGTTAAGTACAGAGTGGAGACATATTACCTTGTGTAATGCTAAAGAATGACCATATCTAACAACCACATTGTTCACAGAACGATTCAGTGCAAGCCACTCCCTAGAAGCAAGGTCATACCTACAAAACAAACAGATCATATTTTCACCCAAATGACAAAACAGAATATCTCGTACTCTCTTAGTTGTGATATAATCCAGTTTGGAGATGCTCATTATATATGCCATGTATATGGGGAGGCACCTGGGCAAACAAACCTAACATCTGGGCCCACTGTGCACATGAGAACTCAGGAAGGGGGACTGAGATACACACTCCTGGGACAAGAAATAAATAAATCTACTGTAAGTTTCTAATGCTTCCTGAAAACCTCTTCTACACAGTCTAAACCACTTGAAAGTTGCATCATACTCAAGGAACTTAAACTTTTATTACTATAATTCTTCCTTCATTTAATCAAGTGAAATTGAAGATGGGTACTGAAAAAGGGATGATAATTAAGTAAAAGTAAATTCCTAACTGTCCCTTTTCTTTATCTAATTGATTTTTAAAAAGTCATATTTTTTAAAAGCTAGATTATAGCATTTCAATTACATTGTGAATACATTTTATTCAAAAAAATGCCAAAAAGAAAGCCATCTATAATCTTGTATCACAGCTTAATCATATGCAATATCTTAGAATATTCACTTTAACTTTGTTTTCTTTGAGGAAAACATCACTCTATTGTTCTTATTAAAATCATAACACTCACTATGAAGAATGTAACCAATGCAAAAATACTAAGAGCTAAAACCTTAAAATATGATCCCACATTTCATCACCTAAAAATGAGTATCACTAACATTAAAAAACATTATTTCAAATACTTTTCTATGCATATGTACAGACACAAGAACAGACTGATAATATAATATTTAGGTAAAGGGGATCATGCTACAGATACTTTGAATAAATACTGTTAATTTAAATTTTTATATAATTTAATAGAAAAATCAAAGGGAAACCAATGCTACTGTTATACTTTAAATGTTTATTTTCTATATGTTTCCTTGAATACAAGTTATTTTATTATGAAAAATATTATTATATGCAAACAAGATGTAAGAAAGTTTTATCACAAGATAACAGCAAAAGAGAAACAAATGTCTATCAATAGACCATGGATTAACAAATTATAGTATAAATAATAGAATAATTATACAGAGTGAAAAATAAACTTGAGCAACATATCATCAACATAAATCTCAAAACAATGCAAAGCTAAAAAAGCGAACTACAGAATACTGTTTCTATAAAGACTACAAGCAGAAAATGTATTCATTCTAATATATGTTCACATACAATAAAACTATGAAAATGTGTGAACAAATGACACCACAAAATCAGGATATTGATAATCTCTGGGATTTTGGAGGGGCATGAAAGGGTCTTCAACTATAATAGCAATGTTTTATTTCCTAACCAGCGTTGTAAATGCATTAGTACTTACTATTTTTCTCTAAGCCTTTCCTTTTGCCTTAAATATTTTATACATGATCTGAAACAAGTTTAACAAAATGGTGACATTTATCGAATATGAATAGTACACAGGTTAATACCAGCTATTATTTTATGTATTGTTTGAATATTCTACACTTTTTTTAAAAATACATGAAAAGTTTAGAGGTTAAATTCACTTTAGTTTTTAAGTTACACACAATTTAATTTTGGACAGAATCCACTCACTTCCCGCTTTAAAAGTTGAAAACCTTAGCACTCGCATTTCCTCCCATTTCTTCCTATGTAATTTTTAGTCGAAGTTCATAACATTCACATTTGATTCTGTAATTCCTTAGTTACTTAGTACTAGGTCTATATTTTAGCTGAATCAATTTCTGCACAGTCCTCTTACCACAACTTCTTGAGTCTTTAATTCTTAATTGGCTGGATTTTAATCTAGTAGCCTTTTTCTAGTTAAGCTCTTATGTACTCCTTTCTCTAAATTCTTTAAGAATAGTATTGGGTCGGCTGGATGGCTCAGCTGGTGAGAGCGCGAGCTCTTAACCACAAGGTTGCCGGTTCAA